CATTTCCATTTTTGGAGTTAGAGAAGGATCTACAAGGACAATAAAAAATTGTGGGACTAGGTGTCTTGCACTATATATATATATTTTTCAATTTTGTTCCCATATATCAGTATAACATTAACTATTCTATAGATTATCTTCTCGTTTTATTAAAAATGATTCAACTAGAATTTACACAAAAAATGAATCGCGTTTTAAGTAACATATACTTGATAAATACACTATAATCATTAAACTTATTATAATCGCTAAATATGTCAAACTTAAATATCACTATTATATTGGATAAAAAAGATAGAACGTTACCTAAACCCTTTAATAATAGACCAGGGTATGATATGAAATACGTTGCTTCATATGTCTCAAATTATGCTGGTTTTAAATTTAATGAACTCTTTGATACTGAAAGATTATATGACAACTTGTCTATCATTCGAAATGATGAAAATCTTATCCAATGGGCTGTGCAGGTTAGAATCGATCTTCAAGAATTGTTAATCAAACAAAAATTTAGCGTATATCATAACTTCTGTCTATTCGCTTCTTACCCTGGAGGTAAGTTGGAAAATTTTAATTATTATAGACCCAAACCATTTAAGAATGGAACCGCCATTTGTTTTGGTTGTTGGAAGGTAATTCATATTAATGTAAACATAAAACCTAGGAAAATATTCCATTATTCTAGAAGAAGATTTGTGGATATCGTCGAACCTAGAGATCTGATGCTAGATCATTGGGATCACGAATGCGATAAACCTAAAACTGATTTTGGGCATGCAAGAATTATACAACGGGCTTGGAAAAACTTCAAGAAGAGTCCTGGATCCTCCTTGACGAAAAAAGTTTGGAATGCGGTAAGAAATGATGATACTCCCAACGAAGAGAAATTTTTAGGTATAACTACTCGCAAAGTAAAAAATCTTCAAACTCGAGATCAATTTAATCTATGGCGTAATAATATTCTTGCAGAGTATGAAAAAGAAAAAAACTTTAATATGTTCTTTCTCTATTCTAAATTAGAATATGAAGAATATTATATTCCGGGTGATTGGATAAGTTTCAAGAAACATCAATTACAACAAAGATTGAGGAATCATGTTGACAAGTTGTTCATTGAACGAGGTTATAAAATTGTCTGGGGAAGTTGGGATACGTTGCTGAAATGTATCAAAAATCCAGATGATAATTATATTATTGATAAGTATGGTCTTCGTATTGATAGAATATAATTTATATAGTATAACAATTTTATTTTTTGCCGTTTTTGAGCTAAATGGTATTTTTTTTATTTCTGCAATAACTTGATCTCTTTTTCCAGATCTAGAGGATTCATCCATCCGACTCTGATTGACATAGGATCAGAGATTGGTACAGTGGTGTCGAAGACAATGAATTCACGATTTCACAAATAGTTATTGATAACTCTAGAAGCTTTGCGTGGATCTTCTTCTATGTATTGTCTTATAATTCGTGCAATATCTTCTGTAGACCCCCCACCATCAAATATTACAAGATGGGTTGAATTTTCACGAAGGATTTTTGGCATTTGAGTGAATTTATGTGAAATATATATTGCGGAAATATTGCTATGGCGACCTCTGGTAAAAAATGGGATGATACGATTTTGAATTGACTGGGGTTCAGTACACACATCCTCAAAAATGAATACTGTACGTCTTTTTGAATTTTTGTACTGCTTTAGATCTGGAATTTTATCAGGTGTAAATGCAGTAAAAGTAACATCTTCATAATACGGTTTGGAAGGATCTGCTATTTTCTTATAGAAGTTTCGAATTAATCGGTATTTGGGTTCATTAATATAGTGCCCTACTAATACAATATCATTACATCTTATAGGACGTTCACCAATTTTCTTTTTTCCCTCTTTCATATCATAATACTTATCCCCGAGAAAGAGGTTTAACAGCATATTGGTCTTACCAGTGTTCGATCTCCCAGATACCACGATATAAAATGGCCACTTTGGAGCATCTTCATCATCTAAAGATTTCTTCGGCGGTTTAATTTCATCAACATGATATACATAAAAATATTTCATTCTAATTCAACTATGTATCTAAGATTTTTATTTTCTTGCCAAGAATGATCGGCGTGAAGATTCTTCACGCGCACGTAATGATGTATGACAAAACTTTTGACTTTTGTCATTGACGTGATGAAAGTACTGACTAAAGGTGGTTTCTCACCAAGGGCCATTTTGACGATTTGACGAAAGTAAAAAGTGTTGATGAAAGTAAAAAGTGTTGACAAAAGTAAAAAGTTTTGACAAAAGTAAAAAGTGTTGACAAAAGTAAAAATTGTTGACAAGTAAAAATTGAAATTTTTTTTTGTTTTATATATATATAAAAGATACCCCTTAATTACATAAAATAAATTTTTTTTTTATTTTTGAATTGAATCTATAAAAGCAACGCAATAATAATATAATAAAAAACTATTATAATATCAACCATAAACCATTCAAATTACAATCATTGTGCTAGCAACTTCCACTTCCTTTTTACATCCAATAATAAGTCTGTGAGATAATATTGCTTAAGGAAAGAAGAATTGGTTTTAAAAAAATGTCAGATCCACAAAATGGTAGACCTCCCTCAAATGTGTGGATCCATTTTGTTAAAAAACATGAAGAAAAATCCAAAGGACATTACTCTGCACAATGCAAGTATTGTACAAAAAAGTTTAATTGTGGACAACCACAAAAACTTTTATCACATTTGGCAAACCATTGCCCTGGTTGTACTCATGAAATTAGAAGAGAATGTTTAAGACAAATAAACAATGATAATAATAATGAAACTTTAGAATCATCATCAACTCAACAACCAATTTCAAATTTTTATGAAAGCACCTTGTTGACAAAAGAGCACAATGATTCAATTAACCAGGCATTAATAAAAGCATTTGTTTGCTGCGGAATTTCTTTTTCAGTTGTCAGTAATCCATACTTTATAAATCTTCTTCAACAACTCCGTCCTGCATATCAACCACCATCTAAGAGTGTTTTATCTGGAAAATTTCTTGATACTGAAATATCCAATGTCAATAACAAATTAAATTCAATATTAGAAAATAACAAAAACCTGACTTTAGGTGACTATCATTATTGTCATTATTATTATCATTATTATTATTTTATTTTACTTACTTTTAAATTCAATAATTAAAATAGCAATTGATGGCTGGTCTAGTCCTCAGAATTTGTCAATTTGGAGTTTTGTAATATATACACCTGATCATAAGCAATATTTGTATGAATTACGTGATCTATCATCTGAAAGCCCTACTGCACAATATATTGCAACCCAAATTGAAGAAATTATGAATAAAGTTGGCTCATTTAGGTTTTCTGCATTAGTATCTCCAATGTGAGTGGTGCCAGGAAAATCATTAGTGATAAATTTAAACACATTATCGACTTACGTTGTATAGCCCATTGTATCAATTTGGTGACCAAAGATATTATCCAACATAATTTTGCAAAAAGCCTAATTTCTAAATGCAAAATTGTTGTCAGATTTTTTAAAAGGTCTCATAGAGCAACCAATATATTGCAAGAAACCATCAATAAAAATAACATTATTGGTGGTGGTTTGAAGAAATATTGTGAGACACGTTGGACGTCAGTTTATGATACAGTGGCATCTATCATAAGACTCAAACCATGCTTTGATTTAGTAAGTTATTTTTACAATTTTTTATTTATTTATTTTATTTACTTTATTTTTAATATTTATTTAAATTATAAATAGATTTTGAGAGAAAATGATGATTTAGTTACAAATGAAGTGAAGAATATTCTTAAACGAGGAACTTTTTTTGACAATTTAGAAGATTTGTCTCATTTATTAAAACAAATAAAAAATTCAATTGTAGAATTAGAATCAGATGGTTGTAATTTAGCTGATTGCTAATTCAACTTAGTTAAGTTGGCTGTAGCTATAAATTCAATTCCAAAAGAATAGAACAAATCATTCCGAGACTATTGTATTTACAAGTATAATAAAAGATGGCAAGATTTTGAGTATGATGAATTTTTGTTGTGTTTTTTCCTACATCCAGCATATAAAGGTAATTAATCAATTGAAAATTAATATAGTGAATTATAAAAAAATAAATTATTATTATAATGATTGATTTAATATTTGATTAGGTAAAGGTATAAGAAGTGGTAATTTTAGAAGAATTGCAAGATTATATCAAAATATGGGAAAATCCAAGACATCATGTGATGAGTTGATATCTCAACTTAGACATTACAAAATTGGCAATTATCCATTTGATGCATCATATAATGAGAAAAATGATTCGCCATTAACTTGGTGGATGACATGTGAAGATGTTCATAATCACCTTCAAGATTTGGCAATTAAACTTTTTTCAGTAGCCCCTCACAGTGTGGGGTGCGAAAGAATTTTTCTAAGTTAAATTGGATATATGGCAATAAAAGACAAAATTTGAATTTAAGAAAAACTTGAAGATATATCCAAAATTCTCAGTTATTATCTTTCAAATACAAAAAAAGAAGTTCAAAACTTTGATCATTTACTTTCAGATAATGAACTTAAACAATTGATTATCAATTCGAGTGATGATGATTCAGATGTGGAAGATGTCCTCCTTGACGAAAAAAGTTTGGAATGCAGTAAGAAATGATGATACTCCCAACGAAGAGAAATTTTTAGGTATAACTACTCGCAAAGTAAAAAATCTTCAAACTCGAGATCAATTCAATCTATGGCGTAATAATATTATCACAATGTATGAAAAAGAAAAAAACTTTGATATGCTCTACCTCTATCAAAAAAGATATGAATATGAAGAATATTATATTCCATATGATTGGATAGGTTCCAAGAAACATCAGTTACGGCGAAGATTGAGTAATCATCTTGAAGAGTTGTTAAAAGAACAAGGCTATAGAGTAGTTTGTGCGAGATCTTGGTATGTTATGGTAAAATGGATTGAGAATCCAGATTATTATGCAAATCTCACATATCCGAATATCGTTA